AAACCAGAAATATATTATAAGTACTAGAAATATGCTATAAAGTTGGTATTGAAGTTTAAGTAAATATTGCAAAGCCAAGTCCTATTAATATTTTATTAAAGTAGGTAGATTAGTTAACAGAAGGGTTCTTTGAAGTTTTACAGTTAGGTAACATATTCTGAAATATGTAATAGCTTGACAAATATATAAAAAAAAGATCAAATATTAAATTAGATAGTATTAATAAATATACAAAAGCTAGTATACTATCTGTTAAAGTAGTATAAAAATTTAAGTGTTTTATTAGATAATTACAAATATGGCAGCTAGTATAGAACCTGTAAGCAGACTACTTAAATAGATAACCAAAAGTTGCATATATAGCTTTTTCTTATATAAGTTATATAATAATTAAAATACAATAAAGGTAATAGCTGCTATTAATATTAGCTTTAGTAAAAACAAAACAAATATATATTATATAAACTTAAATTCTTAAAAAAATTAAAGAGTTTATAACTATTTAGATAAATATAGTATAAAATAACTTTTTTAAAAACATATAGAAAAAAATATTATAAAGTAGTAACTAACTGAAAAAGGTAAATAAAATTAATTTTGTAAATAAAAAACAAAAAAAAAATATAAAGAATAGTAATTTTAGTATAATGGTTAGGATATTATTCTCTAAGTAGCAGGTTTAAAATTTAAATCTTACCTATAATAAAATTTAAAATTTATATCTGTATTATAATAACTGTTTTCTGTTAATTAGTTGGCCTTATACAGATATATCAAATTAGGTTTTACTGATATTAGAAGCTTAAGGAATCTATATAAAATGTAATATTATATGTATATAGAAAAATTTATAATTGGTGTTGCATAAGACTTTAGTACAAACTATAATAAAACCACTAAGCATAGAAGACTAAAAAACCAAGATAACAGAAACCTACTTGAAAATTTTTGAATAAAGAGATAGCATGAACTTTCAATACTATTATTGGACTAATTGAAATCTATAAAACATCTTTATAAAAACAGATTAGTTAAACTAAATATCAAATATATATAGAAAAGCATATAACCAACTAGACTATTAGAATCACCAGAGAAAAAAGATACAGAAATATATTATATCAGACTATCTAAATTGGTAGTCTGACTAGAGACTACTAATTTTGAGTTATGACTAGTAAAGAATGATAAAGAAGATGCCAAAAAGATAGTTACTAAAGTTCTAGTAAATTTTACAAGAGTAGAAATAATATAATATAGCAGTTAAATAAACAACTTCTGTGACTGTAAGTGTTAAGTAATTATAGCATATTACATAAAATTAGATTAATATATGTCAGACATAAAGGCTTTAGTAAGTTTTCTGTTAAGAATAAAGTAGTTTTAAGGGTACTGATAAGCATTAAAAACTTGAATAAATGTAACATTAAAATGTTTTTATAATACAAAATGAATTACATATGCAGAAAGTTTAAATAAGCAAAACTCCTAGCTAGCTTGCAGATATAGCATTTAGTATAAAACTTATATAGAAATGTATAAATAAACTACTTAAATTAGACACCAAAAATGTATATATGACTAATTGTAACCTCTAATATAAGAGAGCTCCTAAAGGCAATCTATGTTTTATAAGTTTGAATAAAAATATTACATTCTGAAAATAGAAACTTTAACAAAAAAAAAAATTAAGTAACAGTATAACTAACAAACATATATATAAAAGAAAAGGAGAGTTGGGTTCTATAGCTTACTTGTTAAGCTCTCATCCCCTTATAGACAAGGTTAATGGTTCGAGTCTGACTAGAGATAAAAATACTCTATAACCAAAATGGAGCCTATAATCAGATGCGAAGCCTTGTGAAAGTCCAAGTAAAGGTACATATTTGATCTAAGAAATTCCTAGAAAGAAACTGATATGGCAGAGTGCAGGCACTACTATAGTAAGAAATGTGGAGAATGTCATCAATATTTGTGGAAAGGATTGGCCTTACCTAATATGGAATTACCTCTGGCACCATAAATCCAAATAGGTGTAGTCATGGGATCTACTTCCATTCAGTAGAGTTTGTGTTGAGGGTAAAGTAGCCCTAAGGTCTGTTATTAAAAAATTAAGTTGGTACTACAGAAAAAATATTGAAAATTAGAGACTTTAAATAGAGAACCTACAGACAGGTTTCAGATATAGCAATTAGTAGGTAACCTGTAGGTGGAACCTTTAAATAGACAATAACTAAAGTTGTACGAGTGGCTAATTGTAGCCTCATTGATATGCAAAATGTAATATTCCCCTACAATATTTGTAGATTATAAGTCTTAATAAAAGATTACAAGCCATAGACATCACTCTTTAAACCTAAAAAATATATATATATATATAAAAAGAAAAAAAGTAGTATATTAAATAACTAAAATTAATTTTTTTTTAAAAAAAAAGTAAAAAGAAAGTATAAAAATTATGATTAAATTTTATTAATTTTATTAAAAAGAAAACAAGATTATTTTTTTATAATTTTAATAGTTAAATTGGTATAACTCTTTGGTTAGATTAATTTAACTAGTATAACAGTTTACTTCTAGGTATTTATAAAAGTAACTGAAAGATTAAAGTCAGAATTTAAGTTAATTTTGTACAAATATATATTCAAAAATTTTAATAAAAATGATCAGCAAAACTGCCAAAATTAAAAAAATCTATATTAATATAATATTTAATTAATATATATTAATTAAATATTATATATTAATATAAATCTGCTTAAAAATTTTAATAATAAATATTATAATATAATTATCTTAACAATGTATAAAAAATATTATATTATTATTATAAATTAATTAAAATGCTATTTGATTTTATCTTAATAATAATAATAAAAAATTATTACTTTATACTAACTTTAAACTATATTAAAAAAAACTTTTCAAAATTAAAATTATTATTTTTCAAACAATAAATTCAAAGTTTAAATTCTACTAGTAATAGAATTTTGGTAAATAATTCTATTTTGGCAACTTGAATAGAATATTTGAAATTATAATTTATAACTCTGATTGTACTAAAACTAACTTTAAAAATATACAATATTATACAAATAAATCTGAAAAATATATATACTCTATAAGAAGTCCTGTTTAAAAATCTCAAGTAAAATCTTGATCTGAAAAAAAAACTAAAGAAGGTAATTTGTATAAGCAAGAATCTTTATATAAAAAGAGTTTATTAACCTAACTACTAGTTGTTTTAAGAATAAAGTTACATTATATAGAACTTATTAAATTGATAGTATAAAAAAACTTGCAAGAATAAACAAGACACTAGTAAAGTTATAAAAAAAAGATACTGAGATTGTATAAACTTTACAAGAATATAGTAATTTAATAGTTAACTTTAATTGCAAGTGTTGGTCTTAGACATAGTAATACTAGATTAACTGTAAATAGAAATACAGAAAACTCTATAAGTTTAGTACAAGATCAAAGGTTCTTTATATAAGTAAACTGCTTTAAAAACCTAGTAATTATGATATATTTGCATCAGTAAAAACTAAGACAGTTGGTAAAATAAATAGATAGATAGATATGAGAACCAGAATATTTAAATAAAAGATTTATAAATAGATTTTAGATATAACAGCTAGTATAGAACCTTTAAATAGTTTATTTAAATTAAACAATAATTAAAGTTGTATAAATGGCTAGTTGTATACTCTTTCTATAGTTGCCTTTTGTAACTGTTGTAATACAATTACAAAGCTAAAACATACTATCAATAATTGTAGTACTTATCTTAATATTAAATAATAATAATAATAAAACTTTCAAAATCAAAACAATATTTTAAATTTGTCTATATTAGTTCATTTTTACTTCTTATATTTAAACAAGTTTTTTAACACTAACTGTATTTTATACAATATATATAAAATTTATATATACTAACTTATACATATATTCAAACCTACCAAATATTAATTCTATTATTACAAATACTATATATACAACAATTTTTTCATACTAATAGGCTTGATATAACCAATATACAACTTGTAAAATTACATAAAAAACTTACTATATATCAATGTTTTAATTTTAATAATGCCTTTACATATAACAATACAAACTTTTATACAACAATACAAGGATATGTTTCAATATTCCTAATTCAAACAATTAGTGCTTTTATCTTTAATTGTTCAATTTAAGTTTTTTAAGATATTAATTATTATATATTTGAAACTACTTAAAGCCATAAAACTTATTCTAAACTTATTATATGAAATAGAAATTGTACGTAGCAAAATTCAGTTATAACCATGGCCTCACCGCTAATATTTAAAAAAAAAAATTCAGTTATAACCAATTTGAACCAATAGTTGAATAAAAACTATTGTATATAAAAAAAAAACTTAAATTTTTAATACACTAATTTATGTAATTTGATCAAATTTTCAGTGATTTGGAAGTTACAATTCGAATCATATGGGATCTTTGCCTTGAAAATCAAGTTATAAGACATAGTAAATTATATGTCTCATAACTTGATTTTCAAGACAAAACCCCATATAATGATACTGGCCGAATTTTTATTTACCTAATTTTTTGAAACTTACGTAAAATTATAAAATTGTAATTATGTAACTCAACCGAATGTCCTAAAATTTGTGAAAACAAAATTTGCTATCTTCGATGAATTCCGATCGAAATCTTGGGAATCGCAATTTTACTATCACGAGAAGTTTTAACGTTAACAATTGGAATTTGTCCATGGCATGCATAGTGTTATCATATACATACCAATACGTGCGTGCGTACGTACGTACGTACGTACGTAGACATACTCTTTTAATCAAATTGCAATTTTAGTAACAATGTTGATACAACAATTCTTGTTCATTGTAATAGGCAATGCGATCACAGCATAAAGCACGTGACTTATATTTAAGCGATTATCCGGAAGCATAAATGTAGGATTTTCACAAATCTCATCCTCGGACGAAATGACCTTGACTACGGACAACATTCCCACAGTACCTGCTAACAATCCAATTGCTAATTCATTTAGCTCATTTGATGACATCTCTAGAAAAGTTCTGAGGGCAAATTATCCTGCCAATCTTCGAAAACCTTCATTAACTCCCAATGACAGAAGTAGCGATTCTAACAGTCATAACATAGAACAAATTTTGGAAGTTTTAATTTCAACAAATTTAAATCCAAGCAATACTTTTGACCATGATTTATTGGATTTGTTGGTTTCTGGATGCAATACTATTAATACAACTGACGAGCATATGACTTCAAAATTTAGTAGAATTATTTTTACTTTCTGTAGTAGACATATGGTATACTAAAGATTCTCGAGAAATGAAATTTTTTTCTTTTGCAATTTATCGTTCTAATTTTTTGAATTTTGTTGGCCTTAGGTTCGTCTAAATGACATTGAAGCAAAACAACCCCCTTTAGATATTTTGATAAATTTTTTGATAGAATCGTATTCAAAAGCCACTCAAATTTCCTATATTGTTGACATTCTGAGAGCTCTAAGTCAAGTTTTATACGATAATGGTGCAAATTGCCAGAATGTTTGGATCAATTTCATTTTTATCAATTTAGTTAAAATTTCTTAAATACACTTAATAATATTACATAATTTTATTATTCATTAATCAGCTTCATCAGAAAATTTTGCAAATTCTTCTTCCTATTGCAAAATTTGATTATCCAAACCTTGAAATCCGCCGTATGGCGATTAACGGTCTAGGAAATTTATGTTTTCGTAGTGGTACCAAGTTACAAGAAGAATACAGAAGTATTTATGAAGTACTTTTATCGAATCTTATGACCATAGAACCTAATTTCGATGACGCTGCTTTTCTCAAAGTAATTTGTGTAATTTCTTGAATTTGAAAATACAAATTCTTTTTAACATTATTATCATATATTATACTTATAGGTTATTAGTAGCACATTAAGAGCATTACAATTTATCATGAATGAAGATAAGACCATTGTTACAGAAACATTTGGCGAAACAATTGAAGCTATAAATAGATATATTTTCTTTAATGCAGACGAATTAAAAAAGTTTTCTTTAAATACGGGTGAAAATTTTATTCATTCAATTTTTACGATATTAGCGATATAAAATATTGATTGTATATTCAAATCAGTGCAGATAGAACGTGGGCAAATCATGTAAACATGAGAAATAACGGGCCACCATCACCAAAGTCTCCCACACGTAGCAGGCATAATCGCACAAGATCGCTTGGTCGCTCCTGGTTAAATTCTGATTCAGAATTGTCCGATGGAGAGCACGTTCAAACTCGTAGAAGGTAATATTTAACATGGTTTAGTGATGCACTGTCTCTTATCAGGATAGCTGAATTAAATACATTCTAGAAATGAGGATTCTCGAATTCGGTCTAATGCTGTCGGATGCTTACAAAGCGTTGCAAGAGTATGTATAATTGATATGTGTTTTACAATTATTATATTTCATGTAATATATAAACTTTTTATTTATAGGCCGCACCAAAATTATTATATCCTCATTGGAATCATTTTCTTCCTGATACAAATGCTTCCTTGTCTTCAACTCCATCTTTATTCACATTGATTCAATATGAAGCTATGCCTGCGGTTCGTATATCTGCCTGCTCAGTCATAACAACAATGATCGATGGGTCTAAACAATATTTGGCGGCTGCTGACGATAGGTTTGTTTTTTTTTACTAAATTACCATGCATATGCAATCCTTGCTAAGATTTTATTAATTTGCATCAATTTATTATAGAGAGATAAAAACATCCTTCACTTCACTTTCCGCAAAATTAGGTGCGATTGTAAGGGAACTTCACGCTGGATTGTTACAGATACTTGTTAAGGAGAGCCATAGCGTCATTTTGATTCAATTATTGAAGGTTAGTAATTAACTATTACTTTAATTATTGTGTTAAAACGTTTAACACAAAGTATTACTTATTTATAGTGCTGCAACACTTTAGTCAACAATACAACATATGAAAGATTATCTAATGGCTATCTTTCCCGATTGTATAATGGAATTGTTAAATTTCTCGTTCATGAAGGTATACTTATGATCAATCTTTTCCATTTGTATCTACAAAAACATAATTGTAACATCATTAAAATTTAGATAACAATGTTCGAATTGCGACCATGACATTGATATCTAACATTGTGGAATGCAAATCATGTGTCGAAGAGGTTGAAAATCTTTTACATACCGCTATAATAAATGAGACGTTAGCAAATGGAACAGATGCAATCAATATTTTGGCGTTTCTTATAAAGCTTATTGGTAAAAGCAATCAACCTGCATCTATAAGAATTGAAGCATGGGGAGTTTTATGTGCTTGTACAAGAACACATTTTATAGCCATAAGGTAAAAAATTATGTTATATTATTATTCTATTTTTTTATAAAACACCGATATAAATTTTTATTTTACATGATTTACTCATTTTTGTAGTCCTCTATGGGAACAGATAAATACTTTAATCGAAACTGACCTCAAATGTGAGGATGTTAATATTCGTACGGCTTCAATGATGTTCTTAGTTGAATATGCTAGAGAGCTGGCTTCTGCTTGTGTGAGTCGCCCAAATGATGCAGAAGATGATAATATTGAGGTAATTTTATGATTAAAATCATAATTATGTATATGTTCATATACTTACATATATAAGTAAATCATCAAATCATTATTCTTTTATTAAATAGACACAACAGTATAAAAATTTAGATTTGACTAAAGTATATGAATGGTGGATTACAGTTCTTGTTCAACATGTTCAGATGGCGACAAATGATCAATGCCATGCAGTAAGAGCCCATGCGTGCGACTTTTTATCATATATTCCAGCTAGTGTATTTTCATCATTACCAGTAAGTTTTATCTTTATTTTTTTAATCTAATTTATTTTTTGTGAAATAATATTATATTCTGATGTTTCGTTTATTGTTATAGACGGAGAAAAAAAATTTCTGTATCAAAATATTACTTAATTTTTCAAAAGATGAAGATGAAAGTCCAAATGTTAGAGCAGCAGCGTGTCGTGGTCTTGGTGTATATATTTTGTTCCCTAGCTTACAACAGGTAAACTTTATTACATTCAATATACCATATCAGTATATGTTAATGTTTATTTATTAAAAAAAAATTTCACAATATTTACAAATAGGATACTAAATTCGCATCAGACATGGCGTTGACAGTAATTCAACAGATGTCTGACTCAAATTTATTGGTCAGAGTTAGAAGTAGTTGGGCTTTAGGAAATTTATGTGATACTATGGTTATTTTGAGGCATGTACCTACTATTTTAATGTCTTATCAGATAATCATTTTAATACTTTTATGCAGATTTTTAACGTGATCGTAATTTTTTATATTACAGCAATCCTTCAAATGTCAATCAAGGAGTTACTCCTCGAAATGCTAATTTGAATGAATTCTTGATTAATGTTTTGTGGGCAAAAATTGTTAAAGCTGGATTGTCTGCATCAAATGATAATGATAAGGTAAGCTTATTATTTTAACAAATATTTTCAATTTGAATATTTCTAGTGACTATTAATTTATTATAGGTCCGTCCAAATGGAGTGAGAGCATTAGGCAGTATTATACATGTCCTTCCTACAAACTTCATAATCAGAGAAGAAAGTGGATTAATAAAAGATGTTGTAATGGCTTTGATTAAAAATTTTGAATCTGGTTCGTTGAAGGTATGTTATTTTATTTCATATATCATTTTACAATTAACTACATTTTTTTCACTTATCATCTTTTTACTTATATACATATTAGGTTCGTTGGAATGCATGTTACGCAGCTTCGAACATGTTACGGAATCCAAATTTTCCAATAGGGCAAAAATCAAATACTTGGTCTGTGCAACTATATGATGCGTTAATTAGAGCTGTACAAACGTCCAAGAATTTTAAAGTTAGAATTAATGCATCTCTTGCACTTGCCACACCAACTACACGAGATAAATATGGCGATGTAACTACGTTTATTAAAATTCTACAAGCAGTGGTTACAAGCTTGGAAAATATTGATAATTTGGCAGGAACTGGATTCAGCGAAGTTAAATATCAGGAACAATTAAAGAATCAGGTTTGTTATTTATTTGATGACAATGAAGTTGTCGAAACTTGATTTATTATACATTTTAACATTTATATTCAAATTTTATAGCTTTTGGCAACATATCAGCATTTGGTTTCTATATCAACATATAGTGATCAAAAGCATATCGAACCATTCATTGAACGATTTACAAAGTGGAGAGGATAGGGTTGCGACCCAAATCTATGACATTATTACGTAGTTTAGGTTTGTAAATTAGGGTTCTACTTCATTTGGGAATACATATCCCATTTTCGGTCGATAGTATGAAACTAAAAAAACTGGTCAAATCTATAAATTATTAACAATTTCAAATTAAAAATCCGAATATGATTTAAAAGTTAAGCAGAAATGTTAAATATGCTTATATATTAGATCTAATAGTTATATTTAAAATAATTGTGGCAGTTTAAGCTGGGATTTTAACAATTTTGAAACTATTGTAGGATTAGTTTAGGATTTAGGGTAGTATTATTAATAAAGGAGTATATATGAATTTTAGTAGATATTATAGATTCAAATAAGAGACCTAAATCCCAGTATAAGCTGCCGCAATAATTATAAAAGTTTTTCACATGCAAATAAAACTTGGAACCATAAATGATAAAATTTCGACAAAGTTTTCTTCAAAATTTGATAAGTGCCTAACAATCTTAGAAAATCCTCGTTATGTAGTCCTTTATTGTTAATTCCCAATCTTGAGCCATGATCAAGATTCAGATAGTATTACAAAAGAATGTGACTAGCTCCGGGATAGTAATTTAATGTGATGAATGCGAACGTTAGGGTAGAAAGGTCGTCAGATTATATGTGAAGGATAAGACATATAGGAGAGATAGGAAATAATTATATATTTTGCTCAGTTATAATATTTTATCGTTTATAAATATAAATACAATTTCTTTGATGTGATTAATAAAGCGGCTTTTAATATTACATAATAATAGTTTTCAAAACTCTTGCTAATTTGATGTACTGAATTAATTATGGTTATTGTAAATTGCACTAAAATTAGAATACTTACAAATCTTCATACTTAAATCTTTATTCGGATACAAGCATTACCAATGAGTATTCAATATGAAAATGGTTTTAACATTTACGACAGTATCAACATCAAGTTCAACACGATCGGTATCTTTAAAACTTTTAGTGAATTTTGGTTGAATACAGTTAGGAACGATGATTACATCCTCATGCTTACAGATACCAGCTTCTTGAAGATTCTCTAATACATCTTTCCCACAACATCGATCATTTTACGGACAATCATCAAAAGTTTTGAAGATTGGGCACTTACAAGAGGTACTAGCATCCAATAGACATATGGCAAATGAGGGAATACATGGTAATACTTAAACGAGATTGTTTTTTCTTTATTATATATTATGTATAAAGAAAGTTACATGACCGAACTCTTCTCCAGGATTGTTTTTATCAAAAAAGTTGTACTGGTGAATCACAACTAACTCAGCCAAAGATGCAGAACCTATTCCCTTGTCAAGTTAACAAGAAGTACAGGGGTTTGCGAAATAAAAATTTCTAGATTGCTTGCTAAAGTTGCAGAGTCTACTCTTATCAAACGAAATTAATAAAAGTTCTTTCTATTTAAATCAACTAACCTTCTTTTTATCCAAAAGTTTTTTGTATAATTACAAAGTGATCGTATTGATATTTATAACTTACTAATAACTATAGAATTTTCTATGAACCTTGTTCTATTTGCAGAATTATCGCGACCAAGTTTGTTGACAAAAAATTGAATACTAAAAGAATCCATTTATATGTATTTGGTCTGTGAAAACAATACAAAAGAAAACAAAACAAACTTTGTTTTTCTGCATAATGACATGTTTTATGAAGTAAGACACAAAGTGTACCTAAATTATTTTGAAAAAAAGTATTTTCGGCAAACATTCAGCATCGATATATTTTTTTATAGAAACTACGTTATAGAATGATGACATTAATTTCGGTAACTAATTTTGATTGACTAAATACCTTAATAATTGTTCGGAGCGTAGTAGAGAACACTTGATTTCTATGAAACTTGATACAAAAAGTTACGTTTTTGATGCATCATAAGAAGAATATCAAAACGTAACTTGTCTGTCGCCATTTGCAAATTCGTGTAACGCAAGTCTTACGCGATTTCTCTCTGGACTTAAAACGGGTTCCGTTTTCTAGTTTTTTTTTTTATAATAGCAATTTAGGCACAAAGCAATAAATTATCGAACTTATACTAAAGTACTCAAAATATATATATAAAATAATCGAAATTATGACGTGCAAAACGTCAATAAAAATTATTACTAATAGATTTTTATTTTTATCGCTTTATATTAAAAAAAAAACCTTTTTTTTATTATTCATTTTCAAATTTCATACAAAAAAAAAAATTTATTTATTTTTAACATTAGCTTTATCAACTTTATTAATAAAATATATATAATATAATACAAATTAAAAATAAATTACAAAAAATTCAAATATAACAAGTAAATACTCTAACAAACGTTAATTCTAACTAATTCAAATATTTTGTTTGTCAATACAGTCAGTAAGTTTTTTATAATTTTATTAAATCTATATTAAAAAATTTTAAAATAAAACCAAATATTGAGATACTTAGTTTCAAAGAAAATATCTTCTACTTATCCCAACCACCACGTAAAGGTGTATCTCACTGGTTGGGAAGGCGAACCCCAACCAAATCACTCACTTTACCGGTACTAGTCATGGTACGGTTCCCGGTGTCTAGTAGGTTGTTCCCCTTGAATCATTAATACTTTTGTATTTCATCAAGGTAGCTTTACCTCAATTAATACTCTAGAGTTCGAGTATCTAAGTCCAAGTCCAAGTTCGAATATCCAAGTCCGAGTATTTGTTTCTACATTTGAGTATTCGTTATTTCTTAATGTTTAACGAACAGTAATTATAAGTATTATAAGTATTATATGATTTAAAGTGATAAAAGTGATGGAAATAGTGAAAAGCAAGAAGAAAAAAGCATCCTTATATAACTTTGTGATGTTTTTTTTTCGACGCGTAAAAATCGAAATACACGTAATTACGTAATTTGAAAAAACTTCAGTGATTCCTTAATTGGATATTAAGCAGTCAAATACGTTATCGTTTATGTAATATTCTCATTAAAAAGGTCATGGCTACGGGTTGATCAGAATGATGTCCTTAGTAAACCTGGTTTAGGGCTGGCTTTAGATTCTGAATCACATGAATCACGTACAGTTGCCTCCGAAAGTTTGTCACGGTTACACAAAAACATAATAAAAAAAACTAACTATATTAATATATTTCGCAAATTAATATATAATGATACGTACTTGATCGATATACAGCAAATTAAACATCAATAGCTAATAACTAAAACCATAACCATTAGTGCATAGATTTTTGTTATGTTTTCTTTATGATTTTTGTGTAACCGTGACAAACTTTCGGAGACAACTGTACATACACACGTGCGCAATTACTATCAATATACCCCTGAACACGACCAGGGCAATATGCAATACAGGATCAAATACAATTGTTGTACGTACCTACATGACCCATAAATCGGTGATCGCCCTGGTCGTGTCCTTTATCTGCAATGTGTTTTTCTAGGGTATACAAATTCTCGAAGTCATTTTGCGACACAAGAAACACGGCAACGAACTTATTCAAACAAGGTAATAAATATCACCCTTCGCATTTTCATGACATGTGTGTCTTTCATGACAATCGGAGAACTAGTCCGAACCTAATTCTATAATTATTTACGTCGATCTAAATGTGAATATAACGCTAATACCGGAACGAATTCAATACCGATACAATCCATGTAATTATAATTAAACACAATACTCGTTCACTATTGTTCTATACATTAAACCGTTAGGAATAAATCGGTTTCAGACAGGGGATATAAACTAGTTCTTAACAGTTAATCAGTTGACCAGACCTTTTACATAGATATATGGTACTGGAACGGGAAACGCTCATTATTTTTCGCGGGTTTGATAGATCGATGCAGGAGTGGTAAATTATGAATCAATGATGTAATGTTGAAATAGATACAATGTGATATCTCGTGAAACGTATGAGAACAAACAATGCAAGAGGAAAAAAAGGCGAGGAGCGAACTTCTGGTATCCCAGCTTGACACACAACAGAATTAAACAGAACGACGTAGATAAACACATGGAATTCTGCGAAAATACTTTAAGTTTGTACACACATATATAATTCATGGTTGGATTTTTTGAGTAATTCTTTATTTTCAAATTTTCTTTATTAATTTTTAAATATAGGTCAAAAAGCCTTCTCTTTACGCAGCAGAATGCTTGCTTAATCAAGTGAAGCCTTCAGAACTACATGATCATGTTTACTTACACGCTCAAAAAGATATTGAACAAGCCGTTACATTGGATGCTGGTAAGTTTATCTATTAAGACTTAAATAATTTTATATTTCTCATATATTAGTGAGATGATTATTTTAGATATTAGTTTAACACATGTATTACCATAATATACATGGCATAGAAACTGTTTCGGCTTTGCCGAAAGTATTTCAACATTGATTTTTTAAATAATATAAATTTCTGTTATTTCCGAAATAACTGACATTTCATATAAAAAATCAATGTCGCGATATTTTCGGCAAAGCTGAAATAGTTTCTATATATTGTAGCATTAGAGTTACAGAATTGCATATTGCCTTAATAGTTCTGAAACTAGAAATATGTTTCACGTTTAGAGAAATGTGAATCAAATGTAGTATAACCTTACCACCCAAATGTCACCCAAATGTCGCCCAAATATCTCATCAGACGGATATTTTTACTATACTCGATATAAAATGTATGTTTTTTTTTTTGCTACATAACTTGTGCTAAATTTGGAATAAATGTAGCATTTATGATACTTATACCAAAAATTTGAATTTCAAAAGGGCTTCTTTTAAATGTGAGAAATTGGATTTTTTGAATAGTGTGGTAAAGTTTATTAGAGAGAAGATGTAAAATT